TAAATATTGAATGATTTTTCACTGTGAAGTCACTTAACTTCATATCAGTGTCTCTCTTTTTTGTTTAACTTATTTTCAATTGGGGGGTAACTGATTTACACTGTTATATTCTTTTATATCGTGCAACAGCATTTTGTTGCTGTTAAGTAGCTCAGTCATGTCCGACTCCTTGGGACCCCATGGACTACAACAGGAGTCAGCTTCAGTATCTGTCCGTCCAATGAATGTTCAGGACTGATTTCCTTTAGGATTGACTGGTTTGATCTCCTTGCTGTCTGAGGGACTCTCAAGAGTCTTTTCCAACACCACAGCTCAAAGGCATCAATTCTTTGGCACTCAACTTTCTTTATAGTCCAACTCATACATCCATACATGACCACTGGGAAAACCATATTTTTGACTAGACGGACTTTTGTCAGTAAAGTAATTTCTCTGCTTTTTAATATGCTGTCTGGGTTAGTTATAGGTTTTCTTCCAAGGAGCAAGCGTCTTTTAACACCATGGCTTCAGTCACCATCTGCAGTGATTTTGAGCCCCCAAAATAAAGTTTCTCATTGTTTCCATAGTTTCCCCATCTATTTGTCATGAAGTGATTGGTCCGATATCATGGTCTTAGTATACTGAATGCTGTGTTGTAAGCCAATTTTTTCACTCTCCTCTTTCACTATCATCAAGAGGCTCTTTAGTTCTTTGCTTTCTGCCATGAGGGTGGTGTCATCTTTGTACCTGAGCTTATTGATATTTCTCCCAGCAATCCTGACTCCAGATTGTGCTTCATCCAGCCTGACATTTCCCATGATGTATTCTAAACAAAAGTTAAATAAGCAGGGTGACGATATACAGCCTTGATGTATGCATTTCCCAGTTTAGAACCTGCCTGTTATTCCATGTCCAGTTCTAACTGTTGTTTCTTGACCTGCATACAGATATCTCAGGAGGCAGGTCTGAGATATAATATCCCATCAGATATAATATCCTACAGATATAATATCCCATGTGTTGAAGAATCTTCCACAGTTTGTTGTAATCCACATGGTCAAATGCTTGTGCTGTAGTCAATAAAGAAGTAGACATTTATTTGGAACTCTCTTGCTTTAACGATGATCCAATGGATGTTGCCATTTTGATCTCCGGTTCCTCTGCCTTTTCTAAATCCAGCTTGAACATCTGGATGTTATTAGTTTGTGTAGTGTTGAAACAGAGCTTGGAGAATTTTGAGCATTACTTTGCTAGCATGTGAGATGAGTGCAATTGTGCAGTAGTTTGAGCATTCTTTGGCATTGCCTTTCTTTGGGATTGGAATGAAAACTGATCTTTTCTAGTCCTGTGGCCAATGATGAGCTTTCCAAATTTGCTGGCATATTAAGTGCAAAACTTCAATAGTATCATCTTTTGTGCTGTGCTTCATCCTTCAGTCATGTCTGACTCTTTGCGATCCCATGGATTGTAGCCCACCAGTATTGCTGTGATTAGACATACCTTAGTTGGAATTTCATGACATCCACTAACTTTGTTTATAGTGATGCTTTCTAAGACCCTTTTGACTGCACACTGCAGGATGTCTGGCTCTAGGTGAGTGACCACACCATCGTGGTTGTCTGGGTCATGATCTTTTTCGTACGTTCCCCAAAATCACTACAGACTGTGAATGCAGCCATGAAATTAAAAGACACTTGTTCCTTCAAAGAAAAGCTATGACCAACCTAGACAGCATATCAAAAAAACAGAGACATCACTTTTCCAACAAAGGTCCATCTTGTCCAAGCTATGGTTTTTCCAATAGTTGTGCATGGATGTGACAGCTGGACCATCAAGAAAGCTGAGCACTGAAGAACTGATGCTTTTGAACTGTGGCATTGGAGAAGACTCTTGAGAGCCCCTTGGACTGCAAGGAGATCCACCCAGTCCATCCTAAAGGAAATCAGACCTGAATATCCATCAGAAGGACTGATGTTGAAGTTGAAACCCCAATCTGATGCAAAGAACTGACTCATTGGAAAAGATCCTGATGCTGAGCAAGATGGAAGGCAGGAGGAGAAGAGGATGACAGAGGGTGAGATGGTTCAATGGCATCACCAACTTGATGGACAGGAGTTTGAGCAAGCTATGGAGGTTGGTGATCGACAGGGAACCTGGTGTGCTGCAGTCCATGAGCAAAGAGTCAGACATGAGTGAGCAACTGAAATGAACTGAACTCTTTATATTCTTGCCACCTCTTCTTAATATCTTCTGCTTCTGTTAGGTCTATACCATTTCTGTCCTTTATTGTGCTCATCTTTACTTGAAATATTTCCTTTGTATCTCTAGTTTTCTTGAAATCTCAAATCTTTCCCTTTCTATTGCTTTCCTCTATTTCTTTGAATTGACCACATAGGAAGACTATCTTATCTTTCCTTGCTATTCTTTGAAACTCTGCATTGAGATGGATATTTGTTTCCTTTTCTCCTTTGCATTTTTCTTCTCTTCTTTTCTCAGCTATTTGTAAGGCTTCCTCAAACAACCATTTTCCCTTCTACAGTTCTTTTTCTTGGGGTTGATTTTGATCATGGCCTNCATGGAGGGTGCGTCTTTTGGTGTCATATCTTTTTGCCTTTTCATACTGTTTATGAGATTCTCAAGGCAAAATGCTGAAGCGGTTTGCCATCCCCTTCTCCAGTACAATAATATGAATCCCCCATAAGTATATATATACAATCCACTCCTTCTTGAGCCTTCCTCCGACCGCTACCCCACCCCACCATTTTGTGTTTTGTGGCAATCTCTTGGGTATATTCAAGTCTTTTCAACCCCATGGACTGCAGCCTGCTAGGCTCCTCTGTTGATAGGACTTTCCAGGGAATAATACTGGCATGGATTGCCATTTCCTTCTCCAGAGGATCTCACTGACCCAGGAATTGAATGTACATCTCCTGCTCTCCTGAATTGGCAGGGAGATTCTTTAGCACTGAGCCACCTAGGAAGACCTGAAGTACTAGGCTGAGCTCTCTATGTCATATGGCAAATTCTACTGGCTGTCTACCCTACACATGATAGTATATATAAGTCAGTGCTACTTCCTGCATTTGTCCAACTGTGTCCCATCCCTTGCTGTGTACACAAGCCTGTCCTCTACAGCTGCATTTCTATTCCTACCTTACAAATGGGGTTATAAGTGCAATTGTCTTCCTAGGTTACAATATTAATATATGATATTTGTTTTTCTCCTTGTGACTTACTTCACTCTGTAAAACAGGCTGTGGGTTCCATCAGTGTCTCATAAACATCACATCTTAGATTTCTTTGCTATATTATCAGTACAATGATATCAAAGCTTACAACATAAACATCTTGCCCATGATCACAATTTCCAATATTATTGAGCATTAATTTCATATTTATATAGATTTAATGAACCAATTTATGTTTCAATAGAGTATTTTATTGACTTTTTATCTGATAAATATTTTCTTTCTGTATCTGTCTTGGAATTTCTGTTGCTCTTGTTTGTTTTCCTGAGATATATTCAGAAGTACTTATTCCTTAAATTCTTGTGTATTAAAAAAGGCCTGCCTTGGTTGTTTAAACTAAAGGGCAACAGGGCTTTGTTTACTTTTTTCTGGTTTATAGTTCTCACCCTCAAAACTTTTTGCATGCTTTCCCATGATTTTCTACTATTTAATGTTCTGTATTCTTTATCAGTGATAATTGCACTTTGGTGTGGGTGAATAACCTCCCTCCTTCACAAACCCAAGGAAATCTTGCTTATAAGTCAGCCATTCAAAGCCTTCAACCAAAATCCTGGTGTGGTCATCAGTTCCTTGACAGAAGTTGGAAGGGCTGCTGTTCTGGGTATTGGCATCCTTCCATCTCACCCTTGCAGGTGCAGCCCTCTGTTATTGTTGTTGTTGCTCAGTTACCCCATTGTGTTCTCTTTGCAACCCCATGAACTGCATCATGCCAGGGCTCTCTGCTCCTCACCATCTCCCAGAGTTTGCCCAAGGTCATGTTCATTTTCAGTGTTGCCGTCCAACCGTCTCATCCTCTGAGGCCCTCTTCACCTTCTGCCCTCAATCTTTCCCAGTATCGTAGACTTTTCCAATGAGTTTTCTGTTCTCATCAGATGACCAAATTACTGGAGCTTCAGCTTCAACATCAGTCCTTCCAGTGAATATTCAGGGTTGATCTCCCTTATGATTGACTGGTTTGATCTCCTTGCTATCCGAGGGACTTTCAGGAGTCTTCTCCAGAACCACGGTTGAAGGCATCAATTATTTGGCATTCTGAATTCGTTATGGTCCAATTCTCACAATGGTATGGGATCACTAGGAAGACCATAGCCTTGACTATTCAGACCTTTGTTGGCAGAGTAATGTTTCTGCTTTTCAACACATAGCCCTCTTTAGCCTGAAGCAAAGGAGGGCTAGCATCTATTCAGTCTCAGGCTCTACTTCTTGCCTAGAGGGTCACATGAAACTTTCTTGCTTTCATCTGAAATGTCAGGACTATGAAGATCACAGACTGAAACCATTTCATGTTACTGCTGAAGTCTTGCTAACATTGGCACTCCAGACCAAACCTGGGGAAGGGTGAAGGGGTAGGAAAGGATTCTTTTTTCATAGACCTTCTCCTCCATGCTGCTTCCTACACTATCATGTTCCCAATACCACACTCAACAAGTTAGATCAAAATTCTATATTCTCAAGCTACATATTCTATTAACCCATTCCTATTTCTGTACTTAGAGAATGTTATTTTCAATTGGAAGTTATTTTCTCTCCTACCTCCAATAATTGCTGAGACTCTAAAGCATCCAACAGATTCCAGCCAATGGACCATCATATCTAGAAATATCTCAAGAGGAAACAAATTTTCATATGCTTTTCATATCCTTGGTGATATAAATTATGACAGAAGTTATCATATAATTGATTATGCAATATATTTTTATAATATATAACTGTTTTAGGTATATCATGTCTTTAATAAATTTTACAGGTTGCTATTTATATATTCAATTTTAGCTATAAAGAGAATGCTATGAAGTTATCAAGAATTCACCATGATCAGCCTGTGAAACCCCTGGACCGAGCAGTCTTCTGGGTTGAGTTTATCATGCGCCATAAAGGAGCCAAGCACCTTCGCCCAGCCTTCCATGACCTCACCTGGTATCAGCACCACTCTTTGGAAGTGATTGGCTTCCTGCTAGCTTGTGTGGCAACTGTTGCATTCCTGGTCACTAAATGTTGCCTCTTTTGTTGCTGGAAGTATGGTAAGACTGCAAAGAAGAAAAAGAGAGAGTAGTCTTTCTCTGCCTTTTTTTGGTTGTTGTTGTTGTTTGTTTGTTTGATTTTTACCAGTTGTACTAGAAACCTTGACAGAGCCCATGTGATTAAATCCAGACACTGATTTGAAAAGATTTCTCTCCTTTTCTTCTGGGTTCTTGTCTAATCTTCACTCCAAAAATATGCTACATGATTCAGAATTAAGGTTTAAAATAATCTAATCTTTAAAAAGATATGATAAATGAATAAACACATGGAAATTGTTACCATTAAAGACTTAGTGCTTTCCTTTATTCATTGCTTTCAGTTCAACCAGTTGAGATGCTGGTGAGGCCTCAGGAACATAATGATTAATTCTATTTCCACACTGATCAAGTTGAATATTTCTTAAATATCTAATGTAATTTAGAGTTCAATAATCAATATTATATCATATTCTTTAAAAGAACTACACAAGGGCTAATGCAGAACACACTCTAGACAGAGCTTCTTTGACAGTCAGGAATATCAGGAGCCTGATAAAATTTCTACTCCGCTGTAAAGCGCATTTTACACTGTCAATTTCCTTCCATATCACATACTAGACTTGGTTCCCTTTGGAATACAAAACACTGTTTTTCAGTTTTTCATTTGAAGATTATCCTTCATTTGGATAGTGCCAGGGTCCAGCCTCGGCAGGATCCAGGGGGCACCCTCAGGATGAACTGTCAGCGAGAGAGAGAGAAGACACGTGAGACCAGCCTTGATAGGGCCAAGTCTGCGAGGGAGAGAGAGAGAGAGAGTGACCAGACGGGGCGTGCAGCCGAGTCTGGCAGAGTCTGGCAATGCTTTATTTTTTACCATAGCTTTTATACCCTAAGTTAGTACATTTCTAAGGGGAAGATAGTTTAACATTACGTCAGCTTGTCCTTAACAAAACCAGGGTGTTTTCTGCATACTTCTTTGTTTATGAGGGTCTTGTACATTATCTTCTGACCTTGGGGCCTATTAACATTTTATGCAGGTTGGGTGAATGTAAACCTATTTTCTGACCTTAACTGAAAGGTAGCAGTCTCATAGGGCAACAGTACAGAGTGGAAGTATAACCTTGTTAACACAAAAATTAATCCTTCTGCAGAAGTTGTCAGTTATGTTTATCTAAGAAGTTTACCCCACACTGACTCTGCGACTTTGGTGAGGCAGCTTCTGCCTAGCACTCCTGGCTGACAATTAACAACCATCTCATTGTTACCACACTAGGGTGGTATTTCTCTAGGTTCTTATTTCTCTAGATCTTTAGCTATATTAACAGTGGTTTCTATAACACAACCTTAGCACTTTAAAAGCAAAAACACAGCAAGCAAAACACAGCAAGCAAACGTCAACCCAATAACCACCTTTAGAATCATTTTTCTTATGTTTTCTAATAGGACTTCCTCACTCCCCGAAGGGCTCTATGTCTACTAGGGCCTTTATATGATCAGGTTCTTTATGCTATTTTATTATTAGGGTATTAATATAAGCAATCATGCATATTAATACCAAGGGCATAAATGCATTTGCCAAACTAAAATACCAGCAAAGGAGTTTAAATTAAAACACTCCTTTCACCCTGGATAATCTCATAAAATACCACCACCTGGGAAACTTATTGATTAAAGTTCTAAATTGATTCTTATTTGGGAAGAGATTGGGGAAGGCCTTCTGCCTGTGTCACAGAAATTAGGGAGTAGTCTACTGAGGCAGGCATCAGAAAGACAGATATTATCTTTAAGGTGAGCGCTGGGGGCAGCTTTTCGAAATCTCTGAAAACCTGATCCGCTTTGCCTGTCAGGTTTTCTCCTCATGACCTTGTCATGGGTGGGATCCCGTGATCTGGCCTTTTCAAAATCCCTGAAAACCTGATCCGCCTTGCCCATCAGGTTTTCTCCTCATGACCTTGTCATGGGTGATCTCGTGTGCCGGCTCCCAGCAGGATAGTAATAATGATAGTATTGCATTTGTATTGTAACACTTCTTGGCTTCAGAGAGCTAGCTGATTCTTGTATGTTTGTGTGATTATTGATATGATAGACCAAAGTAAATGACTGGAATTTAATACACACTATTTTAAACTAACTTAAGTACAATAAGGCTGTACATTGTCACTCTGCTTATTTAACTGTATCCAGAGTGCATCATATGAAATGCTGGTCTGGATGAATCACAGGCAGGAATCGAGATTGCTGCAGAAAGATCAACCTCAGGTGATACACAGGTGATACCCCTCTAATGACAGAATGTAAAAAGGAACTAAAGAGCCTTTTGATGAGGGTAAAAGAGGGAAAAGCTGGCTTAAAGCTGAGTGTTGAAAACAAATGAAAATGAAAATCATGGCATCTGGTTCCATCATTTCATGGCAAATAGAAGGGAGAAAAGTGGAAACAGTGCTTTCCTGTCCTCCAAAATCACTGTGGATGGTGACTGTAGCCATGAAATTAAAGGATGCTTGCTCCTCAGAAGAAAAGCTATGACAAACCTAGACTGTGTTAAAAAGCAGAGATACCACTTTGCAGACAAAGCTCCATGTACTCAAAGTTATCCCTTTTCCTGTATATTTGTGAGAGTTGGACCATAAAGAAAGCCCAGCAGTGAAGAATTGATGCCTTAAAATTGTAGTGCTGGAGAAGACTCTTGAGGGTCCCTTGGACTGTAAGGAGATGAAACCAGTCAATACTAATGGAAATCAACCCTAAATATTCATTGGAAGGACTGATGCTGCCATTGAATCTCTACTACTTTGGACACCTGATGAGAAGAACTGATTCATTGGGGAAGACCCTACTTTTGGGGAAAATGGAGGGCAAAAAGAAAAAGGAGGTGGCAGAGGATGAGATGGTTATATAGCATCACTGACTCAATGGATATAAGCTTGAGAAAACTCTGGGAGAAAGTGAGGGCTTCCCTAGTGGCTTACTGGTAAAGAATCTGCCTACCAATGCAAAAGACTTTCACTTGATCCCTGGCCCAGGAAGATCCCCCAGGGGAAGAATTGGCAACCCAGTCCAGTATTCTTGCCTGGGAAATCCCATAGACAAAGGAGCCTGACAGGCTACAGTCCAAGGGATCACAAAGAGTTAGACATGACTTAGCAACTAAACTACAACTGGGAGATAGTGAAGGACAAAAGAGACTGGTGTGCTGCGGTCCATGGTGTCACACAGAGTCAGATGCCAACAACTACATAAAAAATTTACTTAATTGAATCCTACATTAATTTTACTTACAATATAAATATTTGCAAAGAAGAAAAAAAAAACTATTTAGAGTTGCACTGCAGATACTTTGGACAGAAAATGCACTTCCCATAAAAGCTGTTTTTTATGGGGATGATTTCTCCTTCAGAATTTCAGGAGTTCACCCATTTCCTTTCCTCTGTCTCAATATTTCTCCTGGTCCTCTCATGAGATGTACTGTGACCACTCTACTAAGCACAAGTATCTAGGCATCTTACTAACTAGCATCAGCCTAAAATCTGCCGCAATATGAAGACATAAATTGAATTTTAATAAAATTTAACATGTCTCTAAAAAGAGAATCTTCTCTTTTTTTTCCCTTCTCTAATCCTATAGGTGAACATGGGGAGTTCTGGCCATGATTTTGTTAGGAAATTCCACTAAATTCTCCAATAAAAAAAAACTCTTCCTTTCTTTTCTAAAAAGTTTATCTTTAATATGCTTGCCAATAATTTGCCCTTGATGTAAAAAATGTTATTCAGTCTAACTCAGATGATGTTATGTACCAACCAAGTTCAGTAAGTAATTCACCGTAAACTTTTACATCTATAACTCAAGTTAAATAGGCCTAAAATAACTAAGGACAAATGTAAGTGGTAGACTTTATATTTGGTAAAATATAAAAATAGAACAAATATAACACTATCAGAATAAATATAAATGATTTGAGCAATTATCTGTCTTTACAGGTATGAGAACAAGATAATCATAATTTACTATTAGTTGCGGAATTAACTGTAAAGAAATATAGGAGCTGAAAATATATTTTCTCAATTTTATGAGGCTTTTAATAATTTAATTATATTGTTTTAAGAAATGGAACTTTAAAATGCAAGAACTGATGTTAATAGTTAAAGGTAGAATGCATGTAATTAAAGCAATAATACACCATAAACCTAAATCATATATTAGCAATATGATAATGTCCTTTCCTATAATAGTCTTTAAAACATGGTTTAAACTTTGGTCATTTTATGCCAAACTCAAGATATATCTTCACTTTTTATTAATATACAATGATGTTAACATAAAGGAGTTTAAGTAACTCAGGATTTAGATACCTTATTTCTGAGTTTCCTGAGTTTATTTAAAATGATTACTCTGACAACTAAATGCAAATATTCTATCTTGTAGAGACCAAAGCTTTTTTTAAACCATAATATTTACCTATTTGTATTATCTATATGTCATTATGGGGCTTCCCAGGTGGTGTCAGTGGTTAAGAAGCTGCCTGCCAATGCAGGAGTCATAAAAGACATGGGTGTGATCGCCAGGTCAGGAAGATTCCCTGGAGGATGGCCTGGCAATCCACTGCAGTATTCTTGCCTGGAGAATCACATGGACTGGGGAGCCTGGCTGACTACAGTCCATAAGGGTGCAAAGGCTTGGATATGACTTAAGTTACTTAGCACATCTATACATGATTAAATACATTATATTAAAAATCTTATAAAAAGCGTAGGTATGCAAAGGATAAACCATTGTAACATGTTACATTTTTCCAGTTTAATTGCTAATAAAAATTACTTTTGGAGTTTGATGAACTCTGGCTCTCATAGTTAAAATAACATGCTTTAAAATATCTTTTAAACTACTTAATTCCTATGTGATTATATTATGAAATCCTGCTCCAGTTTTTCTGCATTGTGATAATCTAAAATGCTAATAGGTAGATTCAAGTGTTTTTCTTCATGTGTGTACACTCACATATATATGAACACAGAGTCAGGTTCCATATGTTATAAACAAAAAGTTATTTATGCGGTGTTATCTTTGACTATTAAACTTACGTGTCTTTTATGATAAGGGAAGTTTTGTTTCTATTATGTTCTATATATTTTGCCAAAGATAATAATTCACCTGCCTACTGAGATCTAACATATTGCCTAAATTAATGGGAGTATCAACCATGATATTCTAAATTGTAACAGAGTTCAGATTGAGAAGGATCTGATGTCTATGAAGCAGAAAATGTAAGTTCTGCAGTGTACATGAATTGCTACCTACCATTATCTGCTTT